TAGCGTTAGGATATTGGAATTCGAACGCCGAACTCGGCTGTCAAAGAGCAACTTCTTTTGAATCACTACTCCATTCCAGCTTTAAAAATCTTTTCATCCTCTATTACGTAGATTTTCCTGGACCCTGGACAATAGGGTAGGTAGGTCAGTTCTTGTCCAAGTGCCTCTTATGAAAATGACGAGCCAAAGGGCCTTGCGTATTGCGCCATCAAAGTCCACATCTCGTTGAACCACTGTGCTATTGCAGTGCCTAAAAAAGCTCATCTCAGAATCGTATTATATGTATATTTTAGAAATAAGTTATTTGTTCTCCCACTTGTAACTAACTGTACATAAGAGCTGGATGGAGTAATGTACTTTTAGCAATAGTTTCATATTACACTTCTTATAAAATTTAGATAACATATCTATTAATTTCTATTAAATCCAGCTTCTCAAAAGAGTTGAATTTTTCCATTTTTCATATCCAGCCTATTGGGCTTTGCCTTATTTCATAGGTCAGAGTATCTTCTAGGTTAAGGCTGCGAGTAATGGCGATTAGTGTTGTCCGTTCGTCGTACTATAAATATTTGCAATAATAATAATAAATGACTTTTTAAATTTTATTTTTAATTTTTAATAATTAAAAATTTTTTTATTTTTCTACCATTTTATATTCTAAAAGAAATTTTCCCAGCTAATAAGTCAACAACCAGCATTCTGCGATAACTATTTGGTATTCGTGAAGCGATTCAATAACATCGTAATCATTTCTTCATTTCAGAACTAGTTTATTGTATATGTAATTGTTGCTTTAATATGAAATAAACAATCAATTTTATTAGTGTCAACTAGCATGTAGCTTTTGCACTATTCAAAATCATATGAAAATTTTAATTAGTTCAATTCTTTAAAACAAACGAATAGGGTTAAATTTTGCCAAAAAACTGCTTTATTTATCGTTGTTCGTTTATTAAAAAGTGAATGAACTGATTTCTTATGAAAATTTTTTGAGAAAATTTTTTTTTTTTTTTTAAATCAAAAACTCGTTTTATTCTTAAAAATTTTTAATAGATAATCGAATTATAATATAATCGTCGAAAATAAAATATAATCGTCAAATTACAAATTGTTTTATTTTGTTTCAATGACAATTTTGCTAATTATGCATAACGGCATAATAGTATAGAAATTAATTAATAGTTTTGTTATTTTCTTCAGAAACTACTTTTTTTTTTTAGATTTCTTAATAAATTTTTTTATCAATCAACGCCGAAAAATTTTTTCATGAATTCTTCCCTTCTTTTTTTTTTCGATTCACAAAGTCTGTTAATAGTTAATCACCACTATTATCAAATGAGTCGAGAAAATTCTCATTAATATTGAAAATTTTTCGTTAATAATTTTATCTAATTTTTTCATTGTTAAGAATTAAAATAAAAGCCTTATTTATGCGAAGCTTTATTTCCAATAAGCTTATAAGCTTTCTTATCGAGTTTTTAGTGAATTTTTGTTCCATACATATTTCTTCATAAATAATTTCCAAGCGCTATTCAGCAAATGTACTCCAAAATCCATGTTGAAAAACTTTATCTATGAAATTAATTCAGTCAGACGATTTGCTTATTTAGAACTGCAAAAAATAGGTATTCGTGAAATTTGACAAAATGAAAATTGGAAATAATTTATATTTTATAACAAAATGTTTTTTTTCCTAAGAACTTTCGTCATTTCTGGTTTGGTTCGCTCCATTGATTTGTTGGACCAGGCAAATTTTGTTAAGGAATCACCTGACAATAGAAACATTGGTGAATCGATCACCTGTTACCAGCCGGATTTTTGAAAGCAGACTTACTCCTGTCAAGATTAGAACTGCAGCATCGACGCTCCCGAAACAAGAGTAATAACTCACTAAATTATTCAATCCCTTCCCACCCTAAGTATATATATATATATAGGCTTAGAATGGCTCAGTGAGTTACTGCTCAATTGGGAATACCGATGCTAAGGATCAATTCCCCGCAGGAGTAAACTTGTACAAAAATCCAGGTGATGCTGGCGACCCTTTTGTATTTCTATCTCCAAGGGATTCCCCAATGCAACAAGCCAGTGGAGCGAGCTTAACCAGTAATGGTTAAAACTCTTAAAAAAAAAAAAAATTCTTCTAATCACTTAATGTTTCTATTTTCACTGACTCCACTGCCTATTAGGACCACTGAATACCGTACAATTCGAATGAAAGAAACCTTTCCACAAGAGATGGAAGTAGAAATATATTCAGTCTCAAGCACCACGTTTTTTATTCTTAAAGACTTCCTTATTTTTGATATAATTATAATTCTACGAAAATTTATTTTGATAAGAATTCCATCACTCTCGTTTGTCATTTGTTTTCTGTTATAATCAGCTATGTAAATTATGCCATTTGTTTCTTTTGGAGAGTCGATTCATACACTTTCTGAAGATTGCCAGAAATCTTAAGAAAATGTGAGATCAAACATATTTTTTCTGATAAAAAAAAGTTTCCTCCAAACTATATTGTATATTTTATTTTCATTCTCGATACACCAGATGGTCGTAGTAGTTTCGATGTGTAAATCTGTTCTCTTTTTTCTTAATTGATCTTTGTTGCGATGTAACTAAAATAAATTCTTAACGAATATTGTTAAGAGTGATTATTGTGCGAGGTATATTAAAATGATTGATAAAAAATCTAATCTTATGATGCATCGTCAAATAAACAAGAAGTGTTGAGTAACAATGTAAAATAACAATGTTTTGTAGCGTATATGTTGTAATGTGGTATACAATGGCTGAGTGGGCCGTTACCCTCATTTTGGACTGTTAATGCTAGTTTTCGTGGTGATATTGACAACTGAACTATATTTCTATCGCCATATGACTCTCCGACAAAATTTTTCTGGGTCCGACAAACCAGCGAAACGAGCCTTGTCAAAAATACTGTGGCCCTATTAGAAAAAAAAGAATTTTTATATTCCACCAAATTACTAAATGAGATCTTCTTTTTCTGGATCGATATACTTTACTTTAACCTTAGTGCTTTCTTCAATTTTAGCGTTTACTAATTGCTAAACGAACAATTTCGCTGAATTTTTTACAATGAATTATCTGAAAATTTTCAGAAAATAAAAGATGGAAAAGATATTTAATTTTTCGAAATAATGCATTATAAGAATTTTTGAAAATAATAATTATTTAGAAATTTTGAAATGCTATTCTCGATTATATAAAAGAAAATGCTTGGCGTTCCGCTTTTTGACGAATGGTCCTTTTTTTGAAAAATTCGAGTAACGACTATTTTATAAGATTTAAATTTCCATCTTTTAGTGAAATTTTCCATTTCAAATTTCACCTTTTCTCTGTTCGATAATTTACTTTATTTATTTTTACTTTATTTAATTAATTATCAAATTGATAATTTTTCCATTTTTAGAAAGTATGCATATTTTATTTATTTACATATTTTAATGCGATTTTCTCTTCGTTTGCAATATTCTATTCCAATGTGAGTTAATTATTTCTTCAGATATTTAAAATATTTAAAATTATAGAGAAAATTCTTTAAAATTATGAATATGATCGCAAAAAATTACATTTTCAGCTATTTTTTTTCAGAATAACGAATGTATTTAGTTTATTTAGTTCTATTTTTAATAAGTGAATATGAAGCTGCTGAAACAAATAGTTCTTGTTATATTCCAAAAGAATCGCAAAGAGCTGTATTATACGGTATTGTGCTGAATAGAAATGAAGCATAACAATCGAAATTGTTTGAAGCGAAAATGAAAGAACGAGAGGTAAGAACCAAACCAAACTTCTATGAGCCAATATAATTTTGCATTATTACTTTTTTTCGATCCACGCTGAATGGATTTTTTATCTCATTCTTCTTCTATCTTTTTTACTGATATATGATGAGCAAATATATAGCGGACAGAATGGTTTGGTTCTGTTCCCAATTTACCTTTTGAACTGAAATAGTCGATTGAGCTAACTAAATTAGAAATGACTGCTGTAGAAAAGTTAAATAAAGTTAAATAAAATATAACATGAACATCTTTTTTTTTTAATTTTAAGTGGTAAAATTATCTCCTAGTTAGTTGTAATGTGTAATAATTCGATAGTTTTCCAGTATCTACCAATGACACGAATTATTCAAAAGAATAAGAAAGAGTCGAAGAAAGAGCAAACAAAAAGGAAGAAATTATTATGGCTGCGTATAATTACAATCATCATAGCCTGTATTATTTTCCTCATAATAATATTCCATCATCTCTTTGGAATTGTTACTCGAGAGGAAAACCATTATAAAAGAACGACAATAATGGTGATCAATGGAAGCTTAAAAGGTAAGCCTAATAATTCATTTCAAGTTGTGGAGGTACATAATCCACTCTTCCCTATTATTGTATATATTTCACCTTTTTTTTAGCATCAGTATTGGCTGTTCGTTTCGCGGTTAACGTAAGTTTAGAGCATCTTTTAGTCGTATAGTTTGTATTTTTTTTTTTTTATTATGCGCTACACCTTAAGTCTTTAAATTATTTTTTAGAAAATCAAACAGAGAGTACCAAAATATCACTGGTACAAAAAATCGCGGAAGAATCTGAAGATCAATTGAATTTAGCAAAAGAAATTGGTTCAACTAAGATGTTCTACTTATACACACCAATATCAAAAACTTTTTCCATAATTGCCTCCATCACAAATTCGTCGTGTTCGCAAGCACAGAAGTTATCATCCAGTAAAACTGCTATTTTTAAATTTAATAGGATGGATGAAATTTCATGCGAATGAGTCTTGTCTAATTGTGAGCAATTTACCTACCTCAAATTATGCCAAATTTCGAATAGTTCCACTTTAATTCCACTCGATTTATATGTCAAAATAACCCTCTTCATCTATAAGCCTACAAGTCTACAAGGAATGGGATCGCAAACAAACATCTCTATCTGAGATGACCAATAAACTGGAAATTTAGCTCCTGGAAGATCTCGAGAATGTTTAAAGATAAAATTACAATTTTCTACTCTGTTTTAGAAACAACTGAAACTGAGACGAAAAATTGGTCGACATTACGTCCAAATGCAAATATGATAAACGAAATTTCTGCTACCAAGACACCGTCACGAGCAACTACGGTGAGAAGCTAAATATATTTTATAGCAAAATCGAGCGTTATAACAAAAATTTTCATATTAAATGCTATTATTCCTTCTGTACTAATAACAGTTGAATTTCACAATATTTTTTAAAAACTCAAGTCTGATAAGCTAAGAGGTAAGATGCCAGCCGAAAACAATCGAGTGAGCAAAATAACAAAAGCTATTTTTCACTAAATATGGATAAAAGCAAAGACGATAAATGATAATATAAGCTTAAGAGAATATAAGTTTGTTTAGGCTTTACGCTAAGAAAGAATTGTATAGTTGTTGCTTATAGCTCAGGTAGAGTAATTGCTGGCTTAACCATCTGACACTGCTCGAACCCTTAAATGAAAGCCTAAATTAGCTGCATTTCATATATAAACAATGAAGCATAGGAGGGTAAACATGGGATCAATAGAATAATTAATGGATTCACCTTCTAATTCTCATATCAGTTTGACTAATTTGAATTAAAGACTTATTGAGCCAAACAATTTTTCCAAAACTCTCACACAATTAGCCTTTTAAGTGGGTCTAAAGGTCATAGCGAATTTAGCGACAATACTTGCAACGTATTGGGCAACAAACCTCAACAACAGACATGACATGGAAATCTACACAAAATAATCCAATGCGAACAAATATGACGAAATATGACCGTATTGTGCGAACGACACAAAATGAAATAAGGAATACAAAGGCATATGCAGCGTACAGTCTAAATATAAATCGAACAACGGTTTTAGCAAAGCCGCAAAAGTCAAATCCAAAGGAGGTATTTAAAAAAGAGAATCAGTTGACACTAGAAAATGCCATAACTCTTCGCAGAGTTTGCTTTTTTTCATAATTTCACATAAATGACAGAAATATTTTTGAAGAAACGAAAACCTATCATAGTTCAAAGAATTTTATTTATTGATGGTGCATTTTTGAATTGGTTGGTGCTGTTGGTGCCGTTTCTACTTAGATTTGCTTTTTGAACATTGAGACGAAAAATTTTTGCTGGAAATTCACTTAGACACAGAAATCGAGATGGATACCCGCTGGGATTTTTGGATGAAAATTTTATTCTTGTCAAGGAAATTTTAGATAATAAAAACTGTACGAATGTTTCAGCAATCTTCGGCAATATTGGTATTCGCATTAAGATTCGTATGAGTTGAAAAGCTAAAATTTTACAAAAAAAAAAACTGTTTTTTAAAAATCCATATTTTAAGCCATAAAACTTAGTTTCAATCACTATTTGTTCAAGTAAAGTAAAGTTAAGGAAAAAAAAGAGATATGAAAAAGAGATTTTATTATAAGTGAAATATGTAAAAGAACGAATAATTTTGCAATATTGTAATATATTTGTACTTTCTCCTTTTCTATTAATAGACAAAAATTTTAGCGACATAAACAACGTTATCTTCATTATCATTATGAACGAAAATCACCGGTGATTGTTAGTGCTTTGCTTGATATCGGTCGTAATACGTGGAAGAAATATACGAGGACTTATGACCAGTATTTAAGTTTCTTCGAAAATTTATTGCAATTAAATAATCGGATGGTGATTTATACGGATAAAAAAGGAGCCGAATTCGTACGTAAATGGAGATATATGGCAAATACAGAGGTGAGCTTCATAGAGAACGATTAATCAAAGTTCTATACAAAATTAGAGTAAAATTGCGGTTTTGCTAGGAGAAATTGAAGTTTCGTGTTCTTTTTTTTCAAAAAAAAAAATTCACCATGAATTTATTTTTTTTATGCTAATATTTGTATCGTTTTTCTCGGAAGAATTGCTTAAATGAATATATAAACTATGCAAAAAAGTTGCAATCAAAATAATCATTTTTATGAAAATATTTTTGGCAAAATTATTACTTAAATATGCGTATTCAAGAATTCATTCTTTTTTTTTAGATATTCGAAACTTCAATCATTCATCTTCCATTTTATCGCTTTCTTCCAGAAATACAAAGTATTATCGATAAAGAACGCCAAGGTTGTTGTCATTACTACAACTCATCTGGTCATATTTAGGAGGTTTTTAACCCTCATTACAGGTTAGACCCTTTCCGTTGACTTGTCGCGCTGAACGAACGTGCTAGGGAGTCCCCTTGACGATAGAACTACAGGTGAGTCGCCAGTATCACCTCGATTTTCGGGGACAGGTTTGTTCCTGTGGGAGACTAGAACCCCAGCATCCGCGCTACCATTCCACTCTCCTTATTTTAAGGATGTTTAGATTTAGTCAATTCGCTCTCTCTTAAATATTTGTAAACACCACTTTAAACAAATGGTAAACACGAATGCGATTAGTCAGAATTTAGAATGGCATTACGATTTGAAAGTAAAAGATCATCCTGAAGCAACTAGTGCAGAATATGATATTGTAGTCAATTCGAAACCCTACTTCCTTTACAATGCTACGCAAACTAGCCGATTTCGTACCAACGCAATTTTTTTCACTTGGATCGATGCTGGATATGGTAAATATAAAAGTGATATTCTATTATTATTTACCTCAACTTGATCATTATTTTCTTAAATCAAACTGCGTTGTTGAATGAATTTATTGCCATTATAGGCTTAGCCTTAAGCTTAGGTCTAGGTTTGGAATTTTGATATTTACATTGTATATACAAGAATGGAACGAATTTTTCAAGAAGGGACAAAAATGCAAGAATCGCTGGCTTGTCACTTTATAATTTACATTTAAATTTCGTCACAGGTCGAGAAATGCTTTTATATATGGGTTTATTCATAATGGGATCGATGCATCAAAATAGCAAATTTTAGGCCATGGTGCCAGCAGTGTCATCCCAACTAACTGTCACTGGCTACCAAATTTCAGTGATGGAAAAATTACAGTTATCAAGTTAACACCGATTCACGATAAAATAATCAGGTTCTCTAGCACAACACTGAATTTTCAATCCAATAATCAGTCAAATGTATTTTTTCTTCTTCTAATACCGCTCACCATTTCTGGTTTAGTTGGCTGCTGTTATTGCCTAAGGTTAGATCCTTCGCTAACGAGGAACCAGTCATTTAGAGATAAAATTGTTGGTAAATCTGGTTTTTACTGAGCTTTTTTTACCGTCAAGGTACAGAAATCGACCATCAATATTTCAGTTAGGTAAACAACACACCAATGAACTACACCATCCTTAATACATCCTTTAGGAATGCAAGGCTTGATGAGAAAATCACAATACCAATTGAATGGTTTAATTAGCAAGAAATGTAATGAATCTATAAAAGCCCTCAAAAAAATAGACGCATAATTAAGAATTTTCATTTTAATACTTTTTCTCTATTCAGGTATACAATATCAGATTTGTACCGAGTTGACTGGGCTGTAATAAGTGGCGGTTTCATAGGAGGAAGCATTCATACAATTGATAGATTTTACCGATTTTATTATAAAACATTTCTTGACCTACTCGATGCAGCAATGATTGATGATGATCAGGTAAATTTTTGTAGCTCAAATTGGTTTGCTTAATAAATTTTTTTTAAGCCAATAAAAAAAAAATTTCTTTTTTATTTGAATCGAATTGTGAATTCGATTTCGAAAAATTAAACAATCTTTTCGCACTGTTAGTTAATCAAACATTTTCATTTGAATTTATACTTTAATTTAGAGGTGTACACAATTTTTATTAGTAAATATAAAAATTTCGGTAAATATGTTCGTAATTCCTCAGCGAATCTATCGTAGATCCTTTGCCTTTAACACAGTGGTAGTTGCAGCTTACGGTAGTGGTAGTAGCAAATTTTATTAAATATTTATGAAGGCTACAATTTTTTATTGCAGACAGTTTTGACAATGGTTATAAAGAATCATGAGAACTTATTTGATATTATACATAGTGGAGGCGATTGGTTTGCCTTATTCCGATTATTTCCCTGCTCGTAACAGAATCTCATTTCATTTACATTTAACTATTTATGGGCTCAAACTACAAATACTTCTTTAAACTCATGATTATCCACGAAATTTTGGGACGCTAATATTCTTCGAGCATGCTGATCAGAAGATCTATTGATGCCCAGAGCAATTCTGTTGTTTCGAGAAATTGATACAAATATAAAATCGAAATTATTCGAGGTTTTATCGAGCCAAAGATATTGGAAAACTTCATAAACTATCTTTTCCGAGGAAATTTAGACGAACTGAATTGTAATGAAGCCTCGTATTGTTTTATCAAGTTAAAATGGTTTTCCATGAAGAAAGTTCAGTTCTCAACCCAAAAACTCTTTTTTCCATAACAGAACTTCGATGTGCTTAAATAAGACACCTAAAGATATCATTTTGCCAATCTGCCATGCAGTAAAAATTTCTATTGGTAAAAAACAAATTGTTGCTGTAGCGAACTTCTGCCCACTTCCCTAAGCCTATAAAAAGCTATAAACGCTAGGGCTCGAGGAAGACATTTGGGAAGAACAGGCAATCGACTGCAAAATTTTGTGGTTTTATAATTACAATTTTGTGGTTTTATAATTTAAATGATCATAATTATTCAAGGGATTATATAAACAATTAAGTAATTGTCGGACAATTTGGAAATAATTTGTGGCTTAATTATTCAAGGTTGTGGTAGCTTTAACTTTATTGAACATTTTTTTCACTATTCTCTGTGAATGACAAATTAGATTCAATCAGTATCTGCGACCTTTTAGATAATTGTAGAGATACAAAAAAATCACCAAAGATTTTCGAGCGCTTCTTTACACGTATACCATCATAACACATAATTTTAACAAGCATATTCAAGAGCAAAGATTTAATAAAAGGAAATTTTTCATAATTTTAAACATCGCTTCATTAAAGGCTTTCTTAAGTATAAACCGTACTTTTTATTACTATTACTATATATATACCATTAGTAAACTATAAAAATGGTCTTGGCCTTAACAATCCTCTGAAAAGGTCTTAGCAAAAGTTTAAGTTTTCATAGAAAATAGAATTCTCAGAATCCCAATTTAAAAACTCCCACCTTTTTCCATCTTTCTTACAGTACAATTTGCTTTACCGCTATATATTATATACCATTTTACGAAATATTTGAAAAGGTTAAGCGATTTGTTTCTATTTTCTTATTAAATTTATTAAGAATTAACATGAGAAAATTAAAAGATATATGGTTACAGTATACGAATTGAAAGCCACGTTCTATAGCCGATTTTCGAAACGTTTCTTTGCTCTATAAACGTTTTGCCTACTAAAATTAATGAGAAGAAAATTTAAAATGATCATTTTTTACAATTTAATTTAATTAAATCACTGTATTTTTCGCCATTCATTTGCAACCTTCCAAAGTTTATATTCGATTTTGAATCCGATTCGCATTTGCTCCGTGCAGAATCCACCTAATACGATCCATGCATCTCGAACAACACATGCTTCACTATCTGCGTGAACAAATTCCATAATTGCTTGAACAATTATCTAAAAGAATGTGTTTCGCAGAATAATATCGCAAAAAATTAGTCCATTAATGTGATAATCTCAACAGATTCGGAAATCTCAACAGAATTGGATAATTCTCGAAAAGTTTAAATTATATGAATAGGCTATTTTCCCTCTTAAATGAAGAGGCCAAAAGGGGAACAAATAAATAATATCAAAAAAAACAAGATAAGGTTGATTATTACCAAAAAATATATGCTAAGTCCATATACGCGAAGGGAAACCTTTAGGAATTTTTCTATCAATCACATGAACCGCAATGTATAGAATTTATAGAGAATAAACCTATATGATAGCCTTTCGCCTGAAGCTCCTTTGTAGCAATTAGATAAAGGATGATGCATAAGAACTGACCTTCCAGTAAATACTTTTATAAGGAACTGTAGTATATGCAAGGTGGCGTCCGCCAAGCATTTGTAAATGTCCACTCATAGAAGTTGGGTCATGCAAATGCTTCATAACAAATGACAGCGTGGGCTCAATAGCCTAAATCTTGAGAAGCTAGTAGAAGCTTGAAATTTCATGGAACTAATTGAGAAAGATTTTTCAATTATTTTATAAGACTGTAGTCAGAAATTACTGAAAATTGTATGGTCTAATAGAATTAATCCAGAAAATTTTATACTTTGGTATTACTATGATATTATGATACAAGAAAAATATTAAGTAAAAACGCCAGAGGGCATCGGAATAAGATTTTATGAGCACCACTCCAAGCGAAGATTTTTATACATCAGAACAGTGAAATAGAGGATAAGTAATTAAAAATCTCTAGATTTTTTTTTACCTTTACATGTTGTTGAAAAATATAACTTGAACGAAGTTCATTATATGGAACATCAGAGAGATAGAAGAAACCTCTAAGTCTTGGTTCGATTAAAAATATCCTTAATAGTAACCGGGTAGCCATCTCATGCTCATCGTCATTATGTTTTTTAAGTTGCTGCAAGGAAATATCTCGGTAAAATGTGAAATTTTTCATAACAACAATACTTCAATTTGATCCACATTTCCATGTAATATAATAAAAAAAATATAATTGTTTTAAGCGGTAACAAATATCACTTGCAAAAGGTGCCACGCTAAAGTCAAACTGTTGAAATGAGAAAAAGCACAAACCTGTTTCCAAGTGCGACGGATAAGAGTAATCTGATGCGATCTGAGATCACCTGTTATTGGAAATTGAGGACTGGGCCATTTTCTGAAGCTAGAAAATTACCTTTCCAATAAGAGCTTGCAAATTTTTTTTGAATTATTCCATATTAGTCTATGAAAATTTCTTTGATTATACTGCCTTCACTTCATAATTCTACAACTAGCAAAGTGTTGTTCTGCGCGTCTGCACAGATATATACTCACCCACACATACACGCATATCCATGCTTATCCTTAAAAAAACTATTTCAGGAAAACTAAAAATTAAATTCGGCAATATTATCCAAAAGTGAAACATCATAAACAATGTGGCACAAAAGTATACTGCGAAATATGAAGTACCTGAGTTTCGTAGATAGCGGTGATGTGCTCGATGATTCGGTTGGGCACTTTTCTTTCGAAAAACTTCTAAAAAATTCACGTTACTTATTCAAAGGATATTCGTAACATAGCAGAAGTTCTTTCTTTTTAAAACTTTTTTTTTTCAATTTTTTTCAAAATATCCGGACATCTAAGAGATTTTAGCATAAAAGAGATTTAATCCTGATGAGCAAAAGAAGATCCAGACCTTTGTTCGGAATGACTACGAAATGAGCTAGCCCGAGATGATCGTTCCACGGGACTCTTGCCGTTTTTGATCGCATCATCATTTATTAACACCGACTGCTTGCGAGGAAGCTAAAAAATATTTTATGATCGCCATCTACTAATTGGTTTGCTAATAGTTTTCGACATGCAATAATAACTTTTTCTTAAATCTGAACTTAAAAATAAGGGTTTCTGGCTGAGAAATAAAAGAAGCTCTTAAATACTTAAATGATTCTAACTGCATAGTTGCATTAGGCTAGTGGAATAATATAAAATTACAAGGAATAATGAAAAAATGGCTATCAAATTTAAGATTTTTATTGTAGAAGCAAGAAGCAGCATGCTGGAATTAACAGCGAATATACTAATAATGAAGTTTTAAATGTTTTTGAAGACGGATTACTGATGGATAGCTGAGTAAATTTTTCTGAGACTTTTCTAAACGCACCTTTGCTTTTAATTGTTCGTTAAACGATTCCACTCTCTGCAATACATAAATTGGAATGGCTAAAATAAGTAAGGTGGGTTATTCACCTTATTTTGCTGCGTGGATATTATGGTTCTAAATCTAACAAGAGTGGGCTTGTTTTTCAAAAATTCGAATAAAAAAATTTTTATTCGAACTTTACTTTTACTGCCAAGAGACTCCCTGGTAAGACTTTTCTGGTCAGAATAATATGCGACTATAAAAGTTCACATTCTTCCTTTAGAAATATTATAATTGAAGCATTTTAAAATAAACTAAAATTGAAATAAGTATTTTTCAACTTCAATTTATTTTTCAACAAAATTTCTTAATTTCATGAAAAAAATAAAGAAAAAAACGTACACAGGGAAGTTTTGGTGATTGTGGAAGGATTTCTCTCGAAAATTTTCTTGTTACAGCACCGGTTACCGATTCAATATTTCCCATGTTTTTTTCTGAAAACTTACGCATAACATAAATAAATGAAATAAAGTACCAGTAATCCTTAGTTGAACCTTTTAAATAACTCATTGATTATTCTTCTTTTATTTGGAATTTGTAAAAATATAGTTATTATTATAACAAAGCGTCGCCTTTGTGGTTAGGGCACGTTCTCCGTCGTCCTTCACAGGAGTTGAAGCATATTTCGTTATTTGCTAAGTGTGATGGTTGGCATCAAAAGCGAGATGGGCCAATCAAGACGTAGACTGGTACGGTCAGAAAAGATTTTTGAACATATATGTGGACCAGCAATATATGGACTTAGACAATGGAAAAAGAAATGGCTTCTATTACTGTCGACGATGGCATCATAGTGCGTCGCTTGGAAGCGTCTTACCCTTATAGCCAGCGGAGCCAGCTTAACCAGTAATGGTGAGAGCTGTTAGAAGAAAATAAGAAAGCTCAATCGAAAATCGTTGACATCTCAAGTATGCATCTTTGATCAAACTGAGTCTTAGCAGGTATGAATGAGAATAATACTCGAATTGTAGAAAAAAAATTTCAAAAATCTCTAGCAAATCTAATAAAAGATGAATTTTGATGTCTAAAGCAAATGACGAGTCAGCTTGCCTGATTTGCATTTCTACGAAATCGTTGAGAATTTCTTTCATCAAATTGAGAAGAATTTTTTGAGAAGTAAATATTTCATTATCACAAACGCATTGTAATTTTCACACGAATTACAAATAAGATTTTTGAAAGAAAGGAAATCCAAATCCAAAGAAAACTGCGAAACTCGTAAAATTCAGCATTTAGGAATGGAAATTATTTTATTTAATTTAATTTAGAAAATGAAAATAATTATAAGAATTAAAGAAATTTCTTAAATATTTATTTATTTATTCAAAAAAATTAAAATAAATTGAAAGAATTCAAAAAAAAAGAAAGCTGCTCTCTTCACAATCCAATATGTGAATTGGATTTTAAAATTACACAAATCTTCCGAAAGCGGAATTAGCGTGACATTTATTCAATTCACAATAGTCCCATTAAGAAATTTGTAAAATGTTTCTGCCCTTTGAGCATTTGCTGAGAACTTTTAATATATCTAATCATATATCAAAATTATATAATAAGAACAAGTCAATAATTTCAACATATAGTAGTAGTCTTCTCCTTAGAGCCGAATTTTTCAAAATCTCTTTCAAATTTCTGTTAATGAAGGGAAGGATGGCTCAATGAGTTCTTCTCTCATTGCGGAGCGTCAAAGGTGTACTTTCACTCATGATAGAAGTAAGTTTATCTTTCAAAAAACCTGGTAATGCTGGCGATTCATTTCTACTTCTATTGTAAAGTGACGCTCTGGCAAAAATTTGTTTAATCCGACAAACCAGTGCAATACGCCTAACCAGAAATATCAAAAAGATTATAAATCAATTATAATTCTTTAATAATAATAATAATTATAATTTTTAATAATTCTTTATAATAATTCTTTAAGTCACTGCACAGAAAAATGTTCGAAAAAAAAGCAAAAAAAAACAAATTAATTATTAATTATAACAAATTTATTTAAATAATTTTACAAAATTTATTTAAAGGTCATAGGGTAATATTAACAAACTAAAAATGTTGAACAGAACCTATGAAAACTTGTAGTGATGAAGATGTGGTGATGAGGATTGATAAAGAATATAATAACAAAAAAAAGAGAATGAAATGTTAAATATATTAAAAAAGTTTATTGTCTTTGTTACCACAAATGATGACAAAAAATATAAATCTAATCCAAATGTTTGCAAAAGTACAGTGTAATTTTTTGTTGAATTCCATCTTTTATTCTACGTATTTTTATCAGGCTTCGGTCAAATGATAAATCACTGAGAATCAACTTTTTTGGCAGTTGGAATTTTGAAAAATAACAGCAAAATTTATTACCCTACGAAATCTTTAAATAGAGCTTTTAAAAATCTGAATAAGCATAATTAGCTTAAAATTCACCAAATATTAATTAAAGGTGATACGAAGATTTTTATAAGGTCGTTATTTAATTCTTGAGATAGAACGGGGTACCAATGTATTGAAAAACAAATCCTAAATATCTACACGACAAATCCCTCTTCCTTCGAAATAAAAACAGAGGTCCGTCAAAGTTTATGTCCTTTCCCCTACAATATTCCATGCGATAGACTGGGTAACGGGCACCGCTTGTCAGCCCACAAGAGGTGTCTAAATCAGTAAGAGCATCGTATCACTGATCTTGAATACGCTGATTATGTAATTCTTTTTGCTAAGTTATGATGAAATGCAAATAATGCTAAATAATGTGTCAGCAAGTGCAGCGAGAATCGAACTCAGGATCAATTATACAAAACGAAAGTCTTTTCGTCTTTTGTACAAGAAGCTGATAAAATGCCTCTTTTTATAAATTCAAATTCATTGTCGAGGAAATGCCCGATTTTAAATACCTTGGGTCCACTCTAATACCAGGCAAAAGATAACATTGTAGCGTGGATCACGGCAGCTAGAAATGCGTTCTTCCTGTTGACGAAACCTTTATGGAGCCGTCGTGAAATTACCACAAAAACGAATCTATGTAGCCGTGATTTTTTCGATCTTGTTATATGGCTCTGCCTTTAATCACTCTTGTCTAAGGTAATCTAAGGTACATTTTAGGGGCCTGTCGAGCGGACAAAATAGCACATAATCGCATCCACCTTCGTTCAAATACCACTTGCATTAATAATGTTATCATAGAGCGTCGTCTCCACTGGCTAGGACACGTTCTCGGTCGTTCACTACAGGAATTGACGCATATTTCGTTACTTTTCGTGATGGGTAGCGTAAAAAGCGAGGTGGGCCAATCAAGACTTGGACTAATAGAATCAGAAAGTTTTTGAGCGTATAGATGGACGAGCAATATATGGACTTAGACGATGGAAAAAGAAATTCCTTCTATTACTGTCGACGATGGCATTAGAGGGTCTATCCGCTTGGAAGCGTCCCTTGTAGCCGTTGGAGCCAATCTAACCAGTAATGGTGAGAGCTTTTAGAAGAAGAAGACAAATATTCTGTAAAAATGAGCCATAGCGAAACATAGGATTTGGACTGAAATTTCAGAATGAAATTTAAATGGAAGTGGAACAGAATTTACAACAAATTCATTGGCAGTATTGCATTCGGAGCAGGATATCCCTTTTCATGATGTTGCCATGCAAATGACCCGCAGTGGCTTCAATTTGCACTTGCTCTGCCTATTATATATGCCAATTTTTCGTTAGTAAATTCGGACTAGTCTTATGCAAATAGATTTTTCTTTTCTGCTAATAAGATTTTTCCTTTAAAATGCGACGATTCATTCTGATCAATCAAATTTTTTTCGAACGAACCAATAAAAAGCCAACCTGTATATCAATCAGTTTCCAAAGATTCAATCAGTACTTTTCTACATCAATAAATATTAAACAAAGATTTTTTATAAAATCACTTTTTACAGAAGGTATATGAAGACAACGCTCCTCACCGTTCTCTCACACTCTCTCTGCACGGTCGAAACTGCTAATATTAAGAAGTTGAATAAACTAAAATGTCAGCAGATTTAGGAAAAAAATTTGTTATTGCTATCTTAATGGAATTATTTTGAATAACGAAACATAATGAAATCCTAGGCATTGCTTTTCGTAGATATGATACGAAAATTTGAAATGCTTCGGAGCTCTACATGATATTCTTTTCATTTTTTTTTTTATAAAGAACATTCACTATTACTCGTTAGACTCGATCCGCAGGCGATAGAAGCACAGGTGAGTCGCCAACATCATTCGGATTTTCGAACAGTTTTACTGCTGCGGGGAATAGAAGCAACCTCAGCATCGGCGCTCCGAATTGCAACAACTCACTAAGCCTTTTTACTTTGCACATAAAATAGGTAAAATTGGATGCATAAAAACGAATTGAAAAAAAAAAGGGAATTTTATCGAAAAAAAATGCACATCCAAAATTCTGTTTGTATAAACGACTTTCTAACTTTTCTTTTAAGTGTTCGGCTCCCAACATTCTGGCTTCTCGCATATTTTAAGCGTATTGGCCTAACATCTTCCGATTAATTTCTTTTTTTTTTCTATCTTAAATAATAGCAGCGTAAAAAATAATCGAAATAATATAAATAGCGAAGCTAAAAAAAACAAGTTAATTTAATTGAAAATTTCAAATCGAACAAAGCAAATCAGCCATTTAAGTTTTATTCAAAACATCCGTACAAGTCATCATTAAAAACATTTAATTTTGCACATAGAATTAAAAAGAGTTTTGATTAATCGAATAAATTATGAAAAAATTAAAAAAAAAATTTTTAAATGAATAAAATACATGTAAAAATTTGAAAAAAGGAAAAAAGCAATGAAGATAGCCTAAAAAGTTTTTGGCCGAAGTTAAGAAATTTTTCTCGAATTCAACTGAAACGCAACAAATCAGATTTTATAAAATTTATTGTCGCCATCTTAAAAATTTTATCAGTGATTATTTATTTATTTGAAAAATTAGCAAGCAGAGCCGAAACTGTGTACTTTGATGCCAATAAACAGATACAAATATAAAATATAATATATAAAATATAAAAAAATATAAAAATAGGAAATTGGTTACAAAAATAACAAAAAATAAAAATTAAAAAATAAAGAAATGATAAAATCTTTATCTTAGTAATAATGGAATTTTTAGTGGAAGAAGTAGTACTATCCAATATGACGAGTAGTATTTTTGTGGTCTCTGGCCATGGAACCGTATATTATTGCTGTTATGCATGATCGATTCTTGTTTATTATAATTATTTGTGTTTCTTTTTCCTTAAACATGAATGGCCAGTTAATTCGACATAGAAGAATGCTTTGGGCAGTTTATATGCAAACGGTAGCACTAAGTGATAGGAGATTACTCGAAGTATGCAAATAGTTTGACGATATATCTAAACAAAAATGTTTGCAAAATTTAGAAATATGGATACGTCGTAATATTCCTGAAATCACCTTTATTCCACACGCACTATTCAGTCGCATGTGCATATGGGGCAACAGAAAAAGGCTTGAGAAATGATACCTCAAAGATGGTCTGCAAAAATGCTTTTTTCTGGAGTGGTTTTTTGCTTAAAAAATGAAAAACGGATTAACAACGAAAGGTTTACATAGGTAGTATTGTATAAAGTGAATCCCCAGGATTTATTTCGGAAATCGAAGATTGTGGTTGGTGGTCAGTTGATTCTTGAAGAATCCTGAGGCCTGCTTGGGTTAGAATTGTTGATGCGTTATGAATAAGTCATACAGCAGTCGCCTAAAGCAGCCTAAAAATCTATACACGATCTTCCTTCCAAATCTTCTTTTAAATCTCGAATTCAATTGTAATCTCAACATATTTTTTTTTCAAGAGTCCTCACCATTACTGGTTAAACTCGCTCCACTGGAATGTCGCAATTGAGCAATATGCCAGGGAGACCCTTGGCGATAGGAATACAGGTGAGTAGCCAACATCACTCGGATTTTTGCACAGATTTACTCCTGCGGGGAGAATCTCAGCATCGGCGCTCCGAATTGAGAAACAACCCACACAGTCATCCTATCCCCAGCCTCAACATATATATATATATATATATTTCAAGTCTTCAGGATCCTTTCATTTTTCCTCATAGCCTTTAAATTTCGCTTCAAACTCGTAATACGCTTGATTAATGTGTCGAAAAAAAATTGCATGGCCTTAAATCATAAAATCCCAGTAGTAGGACGTCCCAAAATCTGTCATATTTTGTGAAAAAGCTGAATAAATTCCGTTAAATATGCTCGAAATATTATATGCCACGTCGTCGTAAACCTCTAATTGACACTTTAATCTACTTGGATGTAACCACCTAACACCATCCACTCGCACTTCGTTCCTTGAACATTCCAGAAAAACTCGCAATTAAATTATAAAATTGCAATGGATGAAACCGCCATAACTCGAGTTATTGAAATGCTATAGCGTGAATTAGAAAATGTTGAGTAATCATTGGAAGAAGCGAATATAGGGCAACATTAATTAATGTTCGAATAATGTTTATGGAATATAACGAACGAATTCCGCGGAATTATTTAGAAATTTGCTAGGATAAGAAAGAAGTTTTGAAGACGAAGAGTAATTTTACTAGTACAATATACAAAAATTGTATTTTTATTTCTGCTTTATAATTTAAAATTTCTTAGAATTCTAAACTAAAAATTAAACTAAACCTTCCAATTTAAAATATCTCTTATAAATACAAATAAATATTACAAATATCTCCAATTCCGATTATTCCAAATTTTTTTCATCCGAACCAATTTTATTAATTATTATGCAATGAATTTTTTAATTTCTATTTTGTTTCCTTGATGAGACAAACGATTACTTAATACTTAATCATTATTTAAATTGGCCAATAAAACTCATTTATAATTTTTATCACTAAACATCACATTTTAAATCAGTTCCTTTTTTTTATATGACTGCGAAAAAATTCAAGCAATTTTTTCTTTAGCCAAATTGTAGGGAAAATCTAGAAATATTTTCCTTTATTCACAAAACTTTATCTGTACTTTGTCAATAATTATAATACAATATAATCATTCAGCCGATTAAAATTACGCGTTTTATCCAACAAAAAAGTGCAATCATCCAAATCGGAAATGGTGTGAGTCTCAGAAGAGGAAGAAAATTGTATTCCAATAAATAAATTTAAAATTAAATAAAAAGTCAATAAAAATGAAACGATTGAATTGAGAACATATAAGAAAACAAAAAACATTTCCCTACCACAGCAAAAAAACTATGAAATTAATAAAATGAATGAGCAATATAATTCTGATTAGTTCTCTATGACGAGTTTCACAATTTCTCAACTTTTTGAAAGACTAATTGGCACATGGTTGCACTTAGATGATCAGAAAATGAATCAACTTCTTTGTATAGCAACGTATTGCTTATCACATGAGATACGAAAAATAACAACGTTAAACGATTTAGAATATTTTTTAAATGCATATCAATAAAATTCCATAAAAGAATATATAAATAATGAACAAAATTGAAAGATAGCAAAATGAAATGTAAATAAAAACCCAAAGAATCTGGAAAATATATCAAATGTTTGCCAAAAAGAAAATCCATCTAACCTATTGATTAAATAAAGTTCGGCGATATTGTATTGATTGAAATTTTCTAAAAAAAAAGCAAAATCCCTCGCCTTATTTTGAAAAAAAAATAAAAATAATAAAATACAACAAATAAAAATTACAAAAATTTGGAAAAATTAAGAAAAAATCATAACATTGCGAAATGAAAAACAATGTGCAAAAATGGGTGGAAAAATAGAAAAACAAATGTGCACTTCCCTGCCTCAACTACTTACATCCGCCGCCAGGGAAATGCCAAAGGAAAATCACTTAAGAAAAACTCGTGGATCAAGTGAATATTGTGAAAAAAATGAAAAAAACTGGGAATAATGAGGAACCACTGTTATAGATAAATAGTGAACAGAATCAGATTAGAATACGGGAGAAAAATCAGACTCATATCCCTTATCAAAGGTAAAAAATGAAACTATAATTACAATTTGTAAAATAATGTTAATAAAATTGCCAGACAAGGCTTCCAAAAAAATTAATACGACACTAGTTATGAACTAGTACAACTATTCAATACCGTATATCTAGAACTAAAAAAAATAGTATTAAAAAAATCTGAACAAAAAATATTTCGAAATAAAAATTCTGTAGATAATGTAGTTAAAATAATTAAATAAAAAATTACGAACTGTTGAAAACATCTGTTCATTTTTTTGATTGGAATGAATCTAAAAATTTTAACAAATAATTTTAGATAAAAAAAAGTTTAAATTCTACAATTTTAGGGAAAGCCATCTCAGAGCTTTTGAACCGATGATTTGAAGCCTCCAACGAAAAAAATTGATATGTTAGCAAGGAAAAATCAGAAAATTAAAACTCTGACCTAATTATCTAAGGATAATCGGAATCAAAATTCAGCATAATTAACTTCGTATCTTCTGTTCCATTACGAGAACCTACTGCGCATACCAGCATCGTTGGAGTAGATTTTAAACGCCAGATACATCCACCTGACCCACCCGAACGAAGACGTACAAGATCACGAATGAAAATGCCTATGATATGAAAAAATAATGTATGAAATTATCTATTAACCCGATATATGAAAAAATTTAAATAAATTTAAAAATTAGCATTTAATATCTGAATAAAATGGAATATTGCTTAATAGAACAAAAATATATAAGTTCTTGAATGGAGGTAAAATAGGTTTATTGGTTATTCACAAATTCAAATTTTTTTAAAATTCCATGTAACAAAAAAGGTCTAAATTAGTTCATAATAAATAATCTATAAATAATAACCTTGTTTAACATCCCACAATTTAACTGACCCATCATCGCCACTTGTTGCAACTAATCCATTTTCGAGAAACTGCAAACTGGTTACTGCAGATGCGTGACGATTAGGACCACATAAAGTATATTTACATTGCCCATCGGTAATATCCCATACCTTCAATCACAAAATAATAATAAAAATAATAGTAATAATATTTTAATAGTAACAACAATAATAAATAGCAGCAACAAATAATGATTAATAATAATAGTAATAATAATGATAATAAACAATAACAATAAATAACAATGATAAATGACAATAACAAATAATAATGGATAAGAAAAAATTAATAAGATAACGAATGATAATGAATACCAATGAATTTCCAAAAATTTTAAAGAAAAAATTCACAAAATTGATATAAAAAGAATTAAGAATTAAAAAATATCATAATAAAACACATGCCTTAATTGTGCTATCTGCATTACCAGAAACAAGAATATTGCCTCTAAGTTGCATTCCAGATGTGAGAGATTGATGGCCAATCAAAGTATGCAAGCATATGCCTAACCTTACATTCCATACACGGATAGTAGTATCCAAACTGCCACTTACTACAACGTCTCTATCACTATCAAACTGAAACATTCAAAAATATTTATCTACATAATATGAAATCATCAACTCCTTTACTAGCCTAAAGTTTAAGTAAAAACAATAAAAGGAAAGTGAAATTCATCGATTACTGATTATCGATAAAATAAACAGACACGCATATACCCATTCAACTGAAATGCAATAATGCACTCACCAATAATGAATAAACTCGATTCGTATGGCCTGCCAATGTATGCACGCAATGACCATCAAATGCATTCCACACCTCAAAATTTTTGCAATATTATATCAATAAAAAACCTTCAACTATCGTCTCCAGTATTATTAATATAAGTGGAAGAATTTTGAACAAAATCGCAACAAATTACACAATTATCTTGATGTACATGGTCTTTCGCCCAAAATGATCGACTACATCCAATTCACAGAGTTAAAAAAATTCTTTGCATTATGGATTGATTTAATTAATAAAGCTGGATGCCAAAAGACAAAAAACTAAATGAAACTAAATCATACGTGAAGAAATTCAAACAATTTGTAATATATTTTAGAATTCAATTTAAAAAAAAACTTAAATTCTATGTACAATTGAATTAAGATTCCTAAAAATTTAAACCTTTACTTTTAAATATAAATAGAACAGATAAAATAGATTTCTTATAAAATGCATTCCTTATCTAAAGGACTTCCTCCGAACATATTGACAATATATCGACCAGATTTTGATTTAAGATGTCAATTCAATCCATTCGATGATTTACAAAAACTTTAAATTTGTTAAAATTTGAAAGAATTAAACATGTTTTACATTTTTAAATTTCTTTTATTCGAAAAAATCCCGAAATTTAAATGTTGTTCTTTACTTTTGGATTAATTTTGCATTGTTCTCATCAAGTGATTTTTTATTTTCTTATTTTTTTCCTTCTTTTTCTTATGGCTAGTTGATTGGCAATGTAACAGTTTATTGCCTCGAAAAAAATTTTCTTCTTAATATAATATGAAATAAATGTGCAATCCATCCCGAACTGTGGAGTCCAAAATCTGTATAATACCTAGTCTTTTTTCTTTTTGGCTACTATGAACAATTATTCTTTTTGGAATAGTGTCCCCACAATCATTGGAAATCACTATTACAAATAAAGGAATAATCCAATTGTTATGAACTGAAAAAAGTATTGAGAAAAATAAAAAAAGTAAAATTGAGACAAAAAAAATTTGAAAAAAAGTTCCGAACGAAAAAAAATATTACTGGAAAAAGGATTTAAATAAGAAGTACGAACATCATTATCTTATTTTAAAGAGCATCAAATAAAGTAATTAGTAGTAAAAAAAGCAAAGCATACTTTTATCGAATAATCATATGCTCCAGACACGATTCGAATCCCATCAAACTGCACGCAACGCACAGCCGCAACATGTCCACGTAAAATATTTATACATTCGCCACTATTTATATTCCACAAACGTATTGTTGTATCTCGAGAGCCCGAAACAAGCCTACAAATCAAAAAAAAATAATAGATATTTCTTTCTTCATTAAATATAGCAATCTTTAATTATCAGTACATGATGAAAACTTGCCTAACTAAGAAAGAAGGGATAATCTGTTTATTTTAGTTAGACCATCTTTTTTTCGCTAGAGCTGCAAATAAATCTGCAAAATCTGTAAAATTCTGATTTATAGAAATGAACCACTTTTAAAATGACTCACATTTCTCCTTTAAGCGACATGCAACGAACAGTACTAGTATGGCCTTGAAGATTATGCAGGCATTGTCCAGTTTCTGTGCTCCAAATTCTTATGGTCCTATCCGTCGATCCACTAATAATAATTTTTCCGCATTCCGACATTTGTGAAGACCATACGCCACCCGTATGCCCAACAAGAGTATGTAAACACTAAATTATCTTTTTCAAAGATTTTTATTTTTAAATGCCAAAACGAGACGGAACAAAAGAAAAATCCAACCTTTGCTTTACTTGCTGACCAAACTTTTAACGAGTTATCGTCCGACCCAGTCACAATAATATCACCACGTATCTGAAGGCATGTTATTACATGGTCATCATGGCCTTTCAAAATACAAGAACCTGTTAAAGGCAAAGAACGCCAATTTGCCTGTATACGCATATGTCGAAGATACATTGCTTTCCATTTCGACCTACAATGGAATAAGGTTTGACTTGATGGAAAATTTAGGCATTAAAGATAAGTAGAACACATGCTTAGATAATTTTTTTATTGACAAATATTCTAGAGGAGAATGTGTTATGAAAAGAATGTTTCTGCTTATTCCGAAAAAAAGATAATTATTAAGTTCTCACCTTTTATAAACCGTTCTGGAAATACCATTCGTAAAGAATCTGAAAATATTTAAATTACTCAAATAATTAGCGAAAATTCCACAAAATTATCTTGGTTATTCTCTTGGTATAATTTTTATCCTTAAGAGCCCTCACCACTTCTGGTCAAGCTCATTTTTACATTCTCTGCATTCTTAAAACAGAAATTCATGAGTAACATATAAAGTTCAATCTAACTTCAACAACGTCAATTTTTAAAATGAATGTAAATCTTACTCATGCAGCATAATGAATCCACCGAGATTCGTGCGAACTGTTCTAGCTGGATGAGGACTGAAATTCAAAGAAGAATATCGACCAGACGCCGACAAATAACCGACGATTTCGATTTCAGAAGAGCAAGCTGTATCGGTCCATGCACCACTGTTTCGACTACTGCAAATTACTACAAATGAGATAAACTGTAACTCTTCAATTGAAGACAATCAATATACGCCGATCCCTTCCTTTTAGCAATAAAATCTATCAACAAAATCCAAGTAGCACTACCTCTATCTCAAGATTCTCCAGCAAAAGGCCCTTATCTCAGTAGAAAGTGCTAACTAAGTCAGAAATAATGCCCATTATTGAAAGAAAAAAAAATTATCGAAAATCACAGTTTAAGAAAATTTCCATAATACAAAAAATTAAAAAAAAATACAGAAAATTTATGCCATTTAGTATGCTAATTCTTTTCTTAACAGCGTTAATCATATGGCCTGGTTGACTAACTGGATACGATATATACTCATCATAGGGTCACTTGGAGAACCAGAGAACAGAGTTTAAACGGATCTCCAGCATCCCCAGCATCTTATTTCACTTTAAATAACAGGCTTATTTTAGTTACAGGAATCAGTCCTAGCCTAAAGCAAGTCATAGCATGAAACCAACCGATCATATCGCTCCTTTTACCAGCATCATGTTATTAACCGTTATTATTATACCATAATTATACTAAAACTGAGCATATCTGCTGTATTGTTAACAAATATGCCTCAATTTTACAACGGGTTTTGAAAAATTTAATCATATTAATCATAAACCGCAGAAACCAAAATATGAAATATCCACTCGCTAATTTCACATTACAATCAAGTATTGACCAATGAGATTTTGGAAAATTTTAATTAAAATAAAAATGGTAGGGATGATCGAATGGTGTGATGTGACTGATTCAATTAGCGTCAATTATGATAATCCCTCCTCTCTGATTAGAAAAACCTGTAATAAAAAATGCTGTGTTGCTGGCGATCCATCTGCGCCGATCTCTGGCAAGAAATTGCGATACGGTGGAACTAGCCTAACCAGAAATGATGAGAAACGACTTACATATTAAGCATATTAAGATTTTAAGAATAAGAAAATGTTTCATTTAATTAACGGAAGGGCCATATTCAATAGCAAACACCTAAATTATGACCACGTGCAAATTACTAACAATTGTGTTTAAGTAATAACCTCGGAGGATCCATTATATCTATACCTAGTTCATGGCATTTTTTTCGCCATAACTGATTGTCTTCAGCCAACCTATGCCAATATCGACAAACTCTCGAAACATTAACGAGATCTGTGGGCGTAAGGAAATTTAATATATGCAAAGCGACCTAAAAAAAATCATAGTCTTTAATCAAGATAATCAAAATAAAAATGTTATAAAAGAAATAAATGGGAAAACACCACCTCCGAAGGCAAATCACGAATGAAATCCTTTTGAAAAAATGGTTCTATAATTGAATTAAGGTGTTTTATGTGTGGAAGCGAACATTCATCAACTAGCAACGACAGAGCTTTTAATTGCATTGAAGCAGACATTATCTAGAAAAAGATGTTAAGCAAATTTTAATAAAATTTTTATTAATCCGAATCCCTAATTGTTATTAACAGCTATAAGCTAATTTATTTAATTTACAACGACAACGTTATACGACAGAATATCACAGGATAACAATAAAGGATAACAATAAAACCTTGAATTGATCAATCCACTTCATGAGGTCTTCTTTGGTCGTTAAATCATCATCTGTGTGATTAAAGTCATCATCTTCGCCATTCTGAGACAATGGTGAATCTATTCTAAACTGAGTTACTTCACCCGTATCCAAATTGTACTCCGCCACCTCCTTTGGCGATATGGATCTCAAGAAGTTTAAACCACTCAACAAATGACCTTGCCTTCGCATATCATCTTGCCGCAGCAACCTTTCACAATCGGGAAGCTTATATTGACCCTTTTTTGATGGAGAGCTCATTAGGCTGGATTCAGCTACAGTGCTAAAAATTAGAAAAAATCATAAAATAAAAGTCAACAAGGAGAATAATGCATTTTTTGATTCTTTGTTTCCTTGAAGATCATTTTTAATTCCTGTATTATTTCATACAATCAAAAATTTGATAAGACTAGAAGAATAATCAAATGAAAGCCATTTGCTCACTCATTTTACTATTTAATCATTGCATTTTATTTGGATATTTTATTATTTTTCAGTCGCTTCTCTATACGATATTCTCAGTAATTTTTTAAATGAAATGAAAATCATTAGCTCATCCTGAATAAGACCCTCTAAAATTGTAAAAACGAGATATTAGCTTCAGGATTTTATAGAATATTAACTGAATATTATCTTGGAACTGGTCGTTTTGTTTGAGCAGCTTTTTGGAAATTTAAAAATAGATGATATCAAAAATGTTGAAATTATTCGGCTAAATTTTTTCTTGAAAAATAAATAAATGCGTAAATAGCTAATTGTACCAATAACGCCATCCCACTTTTTTGTCTTTGATATGAATCTTCGCTTAATTAGAAAATAAACAGATAAAAAATAATTCTTTAACAAAAAAAATAAATTAGAAAAGAATGAACCTTAATGCAAGTTTTTTTGCTTTAAGTGAATTTTCGTTCAAGTCTCTCAATGATAATTTTCGTTTAAGTATCTGAAGAAAAGGAGATCATCGAAACAATATTAATTTAATCAACATTTTATGAAAATTCATTATGCTTAAATCGTGTAGAGAAAGGATAACGAAATTCTCACAAACTTTACTGCTGCATAAAATTTTAATTTTGAATTTTCGATAGCCTCTATTTAAAATTTCATATTTATGAGATATATCCGATGTTCTTAAAACAAGAAACTAATAACAATTCAAGCATCTCTTCATAATAAAAAAAAAAGGATTGAGCATACCGTAAAATATGGGCTGAAATTTCTATATCGCCAGTTTAAATCCCAACTATTTTCTTCAAAATCCAGCTATAAAAAATTGTATTGAACGAAAAAAGTGATCTATCAATTCAACTTGTAAATTTTGATCTTAAACAACGAAAAATATCGTTAATTTGCTATATTAATAAGTTAATAATCGATAACGAACTTCAGTGGAAACAGATTCAGAATGATTCTCGTAGACCGATATATTTCCAGAGGACTGACCAGTGAGACCTGTTACAATTGATGCTTTATTCATATCATTATCCATCTTCCATATAAATAAACCATAGATAAGTCAGTTCCTAAAAAACTTATTTTTTCACCAATTTCTAATGAATCACATGAAAATCATCGCAAATAAACAATTCATACGCTAACTGATAACAGTAATAACCTTGACTTTTTTCAAATCAATATTTTTCACCTAACCTACTTAAAAACGTCGAATGAAGAAACATTGATTAGTGCGTCATGTGCGTCATTATAGCTTTGAAAGCCTCGTGAATGCTACGAATTCTTTCGAGAATCCCTAAGAATTAGTAAATAATTTGAAAATGTGGTGAAAGCCACAGATTCACAGCTTTCATTCGTGAACTAAAAAAAAATCAAAATCAAAATTGAGAAAATACATTAAAAAAAAAAACGTATATTTCCAATAAATTTTTCTCAGCACGTCCTCAATAAAAAACAAACAATCTAAAAAATTCGGCTACAACAAATATTTTTCGTAAGCTCATTTCGCAAACGGAGAAATGTCGAAACCGACTGATTGCAGCTGCTGTGATTTCGGTGAAGCCGATATACCGGAACGGCACTAACGGAACCGCAGCAAACCGCAGCAAACTAAGCTCACTCAATATGCGCGAAGATTAAAAAAAAATAATTTTTATAATAATCTAAATAAAAAAATATAATAAAAAATGATTAAATAACGTTGATTTTTCAATGTTTTATTAATTCTTTAATATTTCAACAAAATTTATTTGAACAAATAAATTTAAAAACAAAAAAAAAATCCACAATACTCAAACAAAACAATTCATCTCCCAGAAAATAATGGTAAAATTTTTTTTTCCAAGAATTCGTAAATCGATTTGTCGACTATTACGGAAATCACAATTTATCTTCAAGACCACAAAATTTGAACTATCCATTCATACTCTTTACTATTTATTCCTTACTATTTGCTCAAAAATGAGGTTATTTGACCATTCCCAAAAATTTTCCAGTTGCATCTTAACGAGCTATAACTGTCACTATTCTTTTTCGCAACATTCTTTTTGACATTAGCCGTGGCAAAAGTAGACTGCGATTTGTCATGAACGAGTGATATGAAAGTTGAGTCAGATGTTAAAGTCTCAGATATTAAAATCATACAGAGAGATCCAAAATTGTACTAGAAACATGTTTTAAGCAGGTGACATCAGGAAGTTCAAATCAAAAACCGAATATGCAGTGACTTTAGGAAGTCCGAACCGGAAGCCCAATTGATGATTTGTAAGACATTGCTCTTGCAAATAGGTTTACTTCAACCCATTGCTTCTCTAAGAAGCCTTAAAATTCAAGTCATAGTCATAGTAATTAAAACATAGTTCAATTTAATATAGTCAAATAAAATAAACCTTAATAAGATTTATAGTAAATAGTTCTGACTTTTAGTGAATTAAGATTCAACAGATCAGTTTTGACTTGTAGTCAGAGGAAAAATTAAGGCTTTTGTGGCAGAAAAATTATTTCTATGAGAAGTTTTTATTCAGATATACAGATTTACAGTCATGCAAATAATTATTAATTAATATACAATTAATGTGTAATAAAAAAAAAAGAAGGAGTCAAGAGAACTGATTTGAGAGACTCGAGACTATATATTAAAAATTTAATCTGGAGATCCATTAATAGGAACGGCAAAGCAAAGATCTAAGCCTCAGCAGTCATTTAGGTTTTTTTTAGGTTCATTCGCACTTAAGAAGGATAAATCCTCATTCATGAAGGACAAAAATTTCTTTATTGAAATGTAACAATACGATCACTTAAATTTTTTGCACGGATTGATTCTAATCAGGATTGCTTTTTTTTTAATTTCATTTTTTTTTATTTATTTATTCTATTATTATTATATTTTTTTAAGTGGAATTTTATGCATAAATAAATTAATAAATTAAACAAAAGGAAATGAAAAATAATATCAATTTTAAAGTATTAGCGGTATTTAATATTGATAACAATTATAATTTAAAAAATATTTAAAATAATGAAAAAAGGATTATGGAAATTTGAATTGTAACTTTAAATTATATTTTATTTGATAACCAAAAAATTGTTGAAGAAACGATATGTTGACAAAGACTTGGAAAAAAGAGTGTCCTCAGTTACTTTCGGAAATGGTAGCGGATCGGGAGGCCTGTCGCTTATTTCTTGCTGTTCCTAAATTTTCTAGCTCAATGTCCACTAATGTTCTCCGTTCATTTATTTATAATTATTAGAAAATAAATGATTTAATTTAAATGATTTAATTTCATTCTCCAGTTATCCATATTAATTTAATAGAGATTCATTGAAAAAAATTTGAATTCCATAAACGGCGAAGGTTTCTAAAAGTATAAATTTATCTAAAATTTAATTAATTTCTATTTTAAAATGTAATGGTAAATTAATTCGATAATCATTTCAAGCCTAAAATATTTGCCTATAAACAATGGTCATCGACCTTAGTCTTTTCTTTGCAAAATACCACTAATATGTGATTTTTTAATCAAACTTGCTCAATCCATTCTTGTAATAAATAATTTTTTGTTTTCAAAAATTTGTGGCTAAGCATCGAAAAACGCATCGTTTTTCGAGTGGTATTCTTTCATTATGAAAAAACTTACTTGCAGATTGGAACATAGCCATCCAAATTTTAGTTTCAATGACAAGTCCAGCAAAACAAATAATTTTATTTAGAACAACTTCATAATCATCGGTATCTACATCAGTAGGCACTTCTTCAACCTGAAATTTTTAAAATTTCTGCTTCTTGGTCCTCCATAAAAGTTAAACTGGAGATTTTCTGTCTTGTATTACCATCCAAATTTTAGTTTCAGTGACAAATCTATTAACGCCTGCCGAATCAGACTCATGTTGTTTCAAATATATAAGGAAATGCTGTTCAGGAACAAAACATTCACGAACTGATTTCGCTGAAAATGATAATTTTCTAACGATAATAATTTTGGAAATGATCTTGCGAAATACTTTGGAAAAAATTGGTTTTAAATTCATCAAGGAAAAATACCAGTATTTTTGTATAGAAAAAGGATTTATAGCACTACGAAATTTCGTTGGGAGCACGGCGATTCCTGAATCTGCTCCACTATCTTTTTTCTGTATAGATTTAACTTTCCTGCCACGCGGGACTTTATTTCTTATTATATTATAAAAGAGCCTCTGCGGCTAGCGTTCTACTTCCTACTTTTTTCGTTGCGAACCTCAAACTTGGGTAATTAAACCTTTATTAGTAAAGAAGTCATTTCGACAACGTTCAGGTCACAGCAAAACAAATTTTCAAATTCTTGAAAACAAATCAATAAACTTACAAATAATGATAAAAAATAACAGAAACTATTACGAAAATTCAAAAATTTTCAAATCAAAAAGCTTCCCTGAATATCGATTCTCGATATTTCTTTTTGTTTTCTTAATTATCCTTTCGTCGATAAAATTTATCCAAATGATATCGACCAATAATCGACCAACAACTGATTGATATTCTTACTTCAAAGTTCAATTCGAACAACGAGTCTTTCCTGGCTAACGCACCATGCACAGAAAAAAGATTTTATAGCACTACGAATTCCGTTCCGCTATCTTTTTTCTCTATAGATTTAGCTTTCCTGTCATATAAAAAACCTCTGAGGCCAGCGTTCTACTTCTTACTTTTCTCGTTGCGAACCTCAAACTTGGGTAATTAAACCTTTATTAATAAAGAAACAAATATACAGCGAAGTAATTGCCTTATTACAAAGAAATAATACAGTAAAAAAATCAAATATAAAATCTAAATGCCCATCACTCATCGACCGCTCCCCCACTCATTTTCCCCTAGTAAAAGCACAAAATAACCAAAACTGATCTTTTGGGAGCTTATATTTAATTTAAGATGGGCGAGAATCCGGACGACTTGCTCAAATTAACTTTTTTCGCCTTTCAGCGACACTGCTGCCTGATAAAATCTGGTAACATATAAGCACTGCTATGAGCAAGCATCCCTATCAGTTTCCATATGGGCTTAATAGGATAATAATGATTTCGACTATTCTTAAGAACTGATTCATTTATAATTTCTTCTTTATTATTAAAATATGCATGTATGCATCTTCCTTGAGATCATTACAGAAATTAAAAGAACCTGCCCACGAACGCCGTTGACACAAAGGAAGGTCGCTATAATAAGAATAAAGAATCTGACTTGTTTAAGTGATGATTCTCTCTTTTGCATATTTGCAAGTTTTTTGTTTAATATGGGACTTAACATCTGGAAACCTCTCTCTTCCTTAAGACCATCATATCCTGATCCCCTAATGGTGTGTCTGGGTGTGTAGAGTGTTCCTTAGAGATGGGTTCCTCTTCCTCCGTAATTTTTAGAGGATATAGGAGGGATACTGGTCTAATTAATTCTTTACCATTGGCTAACTTAATTTTTGCCGATCTTATGGGGATTTAGAGTTTTTCCCTGAAGCTCATCATTTATTTCGACGATTCTAGCCAACTGTCAGATCTCTCTATTGTTCTCCTCACATAGTAAAACGACTTCATTTACTTTTGGGCTTCTGTTCACATTCAAACGGGGATTGCGATGCTGACGGCTAGCTTTTTCCGAAATAGGTTGATATGGTCCTACCGCCACACTTCCGAAAATCTTTGGAGTAATTTTTCAGACTTTTTCCATCCTTTTAAGAGTACGACTTTCCGATCTACAACTTTCCGATCTGCCATAGTCTTCATCCTCATCCTTATTCAGTAGTAAGTGGTTTCTAATCAATAGGACGGATAATTTCGCAGGATTCTTCCGTAACATATGTTAATGGTCTCAAATGAACAATGTTTTCCACTTCCACTAAAAGCGTTCTTAATTCTTCTTCATGTAACAATTTTCTGCCTACTTACCCTTTTTCTCATGGCCATTTTCGTTATATCAATCATTCGTTCATAAACTCCTCCTTGCCAGGGCTCATGTGGCGTTAAAAATTTCCAATCTACACTCCCTTCCACCAGTTGGGAGCTGAGTATTTTAGTTGCTGATTCGAAATTATCTGACAGAATCGTAGTTGAATCGTATCTGGCTGAGAAATATGTACGAAATATGTGGATGAAGACAACTGCTGATAAATCCCAGACCATTTCTAAATAACTCTAGTTGTCAAGCAAGTGATGAGGATTGTCCACCCCTCTTAACGACCGTAGTTTCTTTCCGAACATTAAAAAGTCCAAAAAGATCTAACCCATCTGATTTACAGGGTCATTGTTGCTGAATTCTGTAAACCGGCAAATTGGGCATATCGAGTAGTTTAAATGGCTTAGCAATCCATCTCCTGCAGCTCATGCAGTTTCTCCTTATTTGATTTCTACAATCGGTCTACCCTTCGAAATCCAATACTTTTGCCATAGTAGTGCCAGCGTGTATGCGGTACCACAGTGACCATGAGTCGTGTGAAGATGTAAGATAATGAGTTCGGTGACTTTGCTCTTTCTAGAAAGGAATATTATATAATTGGGAATACGACCTTTATATCTGTAGACATCATTCTCGTCCTGATAAAATTCCCATTTTAATAAATCTTCTGAGGTTATTCTTTCCGAGTTCATATTCGAACCCCTGTGCCTGATGCGGTCTAACCTTCGAATCTTCTCTGATGTTTTTACTACAAATTTTATTAAGCATACGACTGCCCCGATTAATTTCCACCAATTACTGAGACGAGATGTATCTATCACCTTTATCCTTTCAATGGTTTTACTTTTAACTTGCTTTCATGAGAAAGTTATGACGGTTTGGTGGATGATTTCATTGTGGGGCTCTTTTGGCCAATTTTCCAGACTGTAGCTCAGCCAGTCAGGACGCTGCCACCGCAACGGAGGAAGTTTTAATTTCCTCTTAGATTTCCTCTTAGACATTTCCTTTGAAGCATCATCTGTGGGTTTTTGAGGGGACATAACGAATTGACACATGTTGGTGTCTTCTGATTTCTTCTAAATGACCTTTAATCAAGTGGATCTTAGATTCCAGTAGTTTATAGAGACCGCAAATACGACAGATCTTTCTGACAATGCCGTGAAGATTGCTAAGCTACGACATGTCCCTTGTTGGCCTTGTAACATCTGATTACAAGTTTTCCCAACAAACATTTTACCTAACCGTGAGTCAATTATATATTCGCCAGAGTCCTTTCTCTCGTCCTTTATGCCTGATCTCATAAGAGAGAAATAATAATCTGAGCCTATATCAGGTTTCGCCATTTTTATCACATTTTTACCTTCCTTTCTTGAAGATTGATATCCTTTCAACTGCATGTATTTTATCTTCGATGCCAGTTGTGTCATCGTATTTGCCATTATCTTGAATATAGGGCCATCACGAAATATTATCCCTATTTCTACTATCGAGGTATGGCACTTTTAAGGAATTTTTGATGCGAAGCTTGATACAGTAATTGTTTGTTGTTCTCTTGCTACAAGCTGCAACTTTTCTCATAATGTTTCTGAAATATATGATTATTGGCTTCCCGTGTCCAACACAATTAAAGCTTGAATTTTCTTGCTTGGTTTCAGTAGATTTATGACGAATACCTCTCTGCAAGGAAGGAATACTTCGTTCAATATTGAATTTTCTCTTAAAAAATTGGCAGTGGTTACTGCCATTTGCTCTTGATCTTGTTGGATTTTTTGTTGCCGCTCATCTCTCTTTTCCTGACATAATGCGGTACTATGGTTCCTGGAGGAGTTCATATACAATTCATATACTTTACTCTACTATAACAGTCGCTTGCTCTATGGCCTAGTTTTAAGCATCGAAAGCATCGTTGAAGCTTTCTTAGGAGCTGCAGCCTCTCTTCATAAGAGGCTATCTTTTTACATTGGTGATTCCAATGTTCTTTCTCACAAAATATACATTTATTAATATTCCCCTTCAAGGTTAATTTACTCGATACCATAGTTGACTTGATACGTTCTGACTGCTCCAAATCATGACTACTTTCCTCTTTAAAATTATTTATAGTCTTGTGCTTCGGCAACCGCTCCTTATCATTCTACTTAATAGGAGCTCTTCCTCTTCGCAGGCTTTCGTTACATTCCTTAATTCGCTTATATCCCATGTTGAGCATTTTCTTTTTTCTTTTAGAACTCTTTTTAGCACATGTATTGGCAATTTAGCTTGCGCCATGCTCAAAATCGAATTTTTGGTGATATCTTCTCCTAAAGATGTGAACTGGCGAAATATTCGCTCCAAGTCCTCGCGAATATCCTTTATATCCTTTGCTTTTGGGTTTAATTCTCTTAATTCTTTCTATCTTCAACAATAATGGATTTATCTCCATATCTGCTTTCGAGAATTTCCCATACATTCCTGTAAGATCCATCATCCATAGGGAATCCTTCTACCAATTTCTTCGCTTCTTCTTCGAGGCAAGATATAAGATATCTAAGTTTATCCACTGGATCAAGACTTCTATTTCCAATGGTCGATAAAAAGTTATCTTTAAATGCGACCCAACTCCTTACTGATCCATCGAATTTCATCAGTTGTATTTTCGGCAGCTTTATTAATGGTTTAAGTTTCTGTGACTCCACTTCTATCATCTCCATTTTTATTGTAACTTTATTGTCATTTAAATTTCTGCAAAGTCTTATTATGACGTCCAAATCTGAAGTTGCCTTACGCGCCTGTTGAACGAGTCGCAAGTACCCACTCCGGCTAGCTGCCATCAATTTATATTCTTCTATATCGGCATTCATCTCTATTGATATTTAGAGGGTCATTTATTAGTGGCTCCCATTCTTTTATCCCATTACTAACACATTGATAACACCCAATTGGGCCAATTGGCTGATATCTTAAGTTGCTCTATTTCATTCAGCTGTGCAAGTTCTTTTTGTGAGTGGTTTAAATTTGTAAAAGTCTTAAAGCTTTTTACTTTATTTGAGCATTCAGTTAATTCGATTGAGTAGGGGTCAATTCTTAATTTCAATAACGAGATCATTTCGACAATGTTCGGGTCATAGCAAAACAAATTTTCAAATTTTAAAAAACAAATCAATAAACTTACAAATAATGATAAAAAATACAGAAACTATTACGAAAATTCAAAAATTTTCAAATCAATAAAGCTTCCCTGAATATCGATTCTCGATATTTCTTTTTGTTTTCTTAATTAATCTTTCGTCGATAAAATTTATCCAAATGATATCGATCAATAATCGATCAACAATTGATTGATATTCTTACTTCAAAGTTCAATTCGAACAACGAGTCTTTCCTGGCTAACGCACCATTGTACAGAAAAAAGATTTTATAGCACTACGAATTCCGTTCCCCTATCTTTTTTCTCTATAGATTTAACTTTCCTATCATATAAAAAGCCTTTGCGGCCAGCGTTCTACTTCTTACTTTTCTCGTTGCGAACCTCAAACTTGGGTAATTAAACCTTTATTAGTAAAGAAACAAATATACAAGAGAATAAAGCGAAGTAATTGCCTTATTACAAAGAAATAATACAGTAAAAAAATCAAATATAAAACCTAAATGCCCATCACTCATCGACCGCTCCCCCACTCATTTTCCCCTAGTAAAAGCACAAAATAACCAAAACTGATCTTTTGGGAGCTTATATTTAATTTAAGATGGGCGGGAATCAGGATGGATGACTTGCTCAAATTTACAACTTTTTTCGTCTTTCGGTGACAATTTTATACTCACCATTAGCCTAATTTCACCAGCTTTTAGTCCATAGGATGAGTTCTTCTGTCAGAATCCACCCCGAGATAGAATAAGTTGTTCCGCACTACCACCCCAATGGAAAAGCATCTTTCTTATTTAATTCGATTATGGTATTCATTAAAAATTGATAATGAATTGTCGTATTTTGTCGCATTGTCTCAACTTTTCACATCTGTGTATTATAAATATTTTTTTCTAATTTTTCCACTTTTTATAAAAGAATGACTTAATTTCATTGAAATTTATTAAATTTTTCGATCGACGATTTATAATTGAGTTACAACCAATATTCATAGATTCAATCGAAATTTTCATAGATAATTGAATGAGATAAACTAAGCTGCAAATATCATAAATATCAAATCTTTGTAATCAGTTATATATATGGTACATATAAGTTCATCGCGAAAGAATTAACAAATGTAAGAAAAATATTTTCAGTGAAATCAGCCATTGTACAAGATAATCAACCTTTCATGAAACATTTCTAATGCTGGTCCACCACAAGAAAATTTCTCTAAACACTATGCATCGTTGCAGTAAACTGTTGTAAATGCACTTGTCATTTCAATAAATCGATTTTCATAACCGCAATTTAGAGATTTGATTTGTTTTAGACAGAAATATCTAAATACATAATACATACGAAAAAACCTCTCTTTCCCACCTCCTATAGATGGAAAAAATCGTCCTTAACTCTGGGTCTCTAGCAGAGGACAGGGAGATTGAGAATGCTGCACAATACCTCAGCTGTTTTTAGCATGAGAATGAGCTCTCTGATGTTGTTCCAGGAATCTGAAACCCCTTTTCTAGTATAGAAGTCACAGTTCCAAGTGTTTCAGTTATCACTGGAATCATTTTGGCCTTTACTTTTCACATCTTCTCTAGTTCCTTTTTCAGCCCTTGGTATAAATTCTTCTCTTTATAAATTTTCTTTAAATTTTCATATTCATTTTTCCTATCACTTGGTATTGTTATATCTGTTACCAGTGTCGATCGTGCCGATCCTTTGCTTTACTTTTTTCCAATGTCTGCAGATGCTTTGGACACCCTCTTAACATCTCATCTTTTGGTGCTATCTTGCTGATATATTGCACGATATCTCCTTGCTTGTTTGTCCGAATGGAGAAGTCCCACAGGATCCTCGCCTTATCATTCTCCGCGATTTTACTAAGAAAGAGGAATCTTCCAACTAGTCTTGAGAAGGCTTTGACCAGATATCGAGCATATTCCTGTGGACGAGATCGGATATTTGATTGTGCCTTCCAGTGAATTTTGTTCCTGCTAATATTGAATTGTTCATGGAGTATTTCTGTATAATCTAGAATCTTATCTAATGAGGTAGATTTCTGCTACAATGGACCTGATGTGTGGTACCTGCTCTTGTGTTACGCCTCAATGTTGCCTTTCAGTCCAGTTTTTTCCAACCACACGTAAGATTCCTCTATGTTAGCAACCTCAGTTATCTGTCAACAACCTATGGAAGGTCTTCTTTTCCATGGTATGCTTCGAGTTTCGTTCAGGAAAGTAACTATTATACTGGCCCAAGTCCAGCCTCTCTTCTTTCTGGCTGGTATAAACTCTTTGGTATTGGACTTACGATGGAAATTTCCATGCATTGTGAGCAGTATGCTGGTTTTCATATATCAGCAGCCTCCATATTTTTCTTTGTCCATCTTACAATGCAAATGTAACGAAAAAAGAATTCGTGTAGCGTTTAAATTTTGAAGTTAGCCTTTTCCCTTTATTTAATGTATAAACAAAAAATTATTAGGATAGAAGAAACGTTAATATTGGAGAAAAGACAGCAGATCTTATAACACTGCATGTGCACATACCCCTGAATGATAAATCCTTGGGAGATGGATAGGGCACACATTAGTGCGACTCAATAACGACAGAAATGAATTATGTCCCTACCCAACGCCTCTCAGATCCCCAACCCATTTCCCACATCATCCCTTTCCTATTCCCACCCTCTTCTTCTCCACAACAAATGGTCTCTTGGGAACTTATATTCGATTTGAAATGGGCAGAGGGAAGATTCATGCTGGTCTTCCATTCTACAGATATAAATATGAGCCCTGCTACACATCGTCAAAATAGAAACTACCTTTATTGTACCTCTCGCTCATGAGCTACTCTATCACTATTCCATGATATTTTATATCTTTTCCAACTTTTTCCTCTCTAGCTTTCCTAATGCTCCCGCTGGGAAAGAGATGTATAGCAGGTGCGATGCGTATGTCCTGCTCATAATTGTAACTATCTTCGCCATTATGCAAAAACTGTCTTATCTATGACCAGCTGGTATTCGGTTCCTCTGGTGTTGTTTCCAATGCCTTTTTGAGCTTTTTGAACTGAATTCGGTACTGCCTCAAATCATGAAGCTTGCTGGCTACAGTGGCTGATAGGATTTTCCACAATGTAGGCAATTACTCCTTTACATTTCATGATCAGTAGTGCCCTTCCTTTATGTTAAAACCAATCTGGCCATTTCACAGGCAGCTGATTCACCTGTGTTGCTACGCATCTTTGAACCACGTCTTTAGCCGCCAGATGTGGATTATGTGCGGACCAGATGATGTTCGATTTTCATATTTTTGAGTAGCTATAACGAAAAAAGGAAAATCGTGTCGCGCTTAAACTTCAAGTCATTATCCCTTTCCGTTAAAAAAGGTACCGTAATCGTAACTCGATCGTTGTTGCATATCTCAAGATTGGGTAATTAAATCTTTATTTAGTTAACAACATAATTACAGCACTGTTATTAAATAGCGACATATTATATTATAATACAACCAATGGAAAAAAAACAATGATAAACAAAAACAACCCATCAAAACAAGATAAAAAATTGAGCGATAAATACCTTACCTATGAACCCCGCCGCTCACCTGCCAACACAAAATAATAATGTGTCCCAAAAAGGACAAGAATCGACACCAAAATGCAGCCGCAGCCACGCTTCTGTTGGTCTTTCAATCGATTCTGCTCATCTTTGAGTACAGTAGCTACTGGATGTTGGCAACTGTGGTGGAAAATATTTCTGTAACATGTTCTCAGATTTTGCAGTCATTTTACATTGCTATTATAAATCTTGCCTTTCTTCCATATAATCTTCCCGTATTATTAGTTCCTGCGGTTACTGATTATATTCCTGCCATATTATTGCACCAAAGTTGTCAACTTACAATACACCTTGGAATGGCTCCTTGGAGAACATTTACATTTACCTTCTTAGCCTTTTCTGTGAGTTGTTTAACAGTCTCGAGAGAGAGAGTTATCGAGATGGAGTGTAGCTCTTGCATTTTTCTAATCTCGACTGCACCATAGAGAGGATATGTTGTTGCCAAACTTGGATAATTTATGTAATAAAAAAATTTTTCTTGCTCACTGTGAGTGGCAATGATCACCTTCGACCTAGAGTCTTCTACCATATCTGCTGAATCCATTTTTCTATTTTATGGATCACATTTTCAATTATCACTGGAATTACTTCGGCCTTTACTTCCCGCATCATCTCTAGTTCCTCTTATAGCCTTTGATATTTCTCTGACTTCTCATACTTCTCATATCCCTTCTTTCTGTCACTTGGCATTGTTATATCTATCACCAGTGCTGATTTTTGATTCTTGACAATTGCCACAATGTTTCATTGATGGTTTATCTGGCTGGATGGAGAAGTCCCACAAGATCTTTGCATTATTATTCACGATTTTCTGAACAGCCTTCCGCATAGTTTTGGCGAGATGCCGAACATATATTGCTATAGATGATGTTATTTTTCAATTTTGTTCTTGCTTTATTTTATTTTCTACCACTGTTTGTTAAAATATTTGTTTTCCACTGTTTGTTTTTTGTTTATGCTTATGTTAATACCGTCGTTGCCTGTATTAACCAGTCTGAATGGCAGCGTGCCACAATCAGCTGGTTCATTTGTATTTATGTTGCTATGAGCACATGAACTGTTAGCTGCCAGTTTCTTAAATCAGTAAATGTGAATCAATGCCGGTCC